ATAAAGATAATCATGATCATGTTTGGTAAGCATATTTAATAGATTTGAATAATAACTAAAATTAATTGAAGCAATAAATTCTAATATTTGATCCCTATTCAATAAATGATGCTGGGAGAATTGGATAGCCACACGTAGGAGATTGAAATAAGATCCATATCTCTCACCAACACAAAAATTAATTCAAGATGGATAACAGACTTAAATCTAAGATATGAAACCATAAGAATTCTAGGAGAAAATGTTGGAAAAACTCTTCTAGATATCGGCCTAGGCAAAGAATTTATGAAGAAGACCCCAAGGGCGATCACAGCAACAACAAAAGTAAATAAATGGGACTTGATTAAATTGAAAAGCTTCTGCATAGCCAAGGAAACAATCAACAGAGCAAATAGACAACCTACAGAATGGGAGAAAATACTCACACACTATGTATCCAATAAAGGGCTAATAATAAGAATCTACAAAGAATTCAAGCAAATCAGCAAGAAAGAAATCAAACAACCCCATTAAAAAGTAGGCAAAAGATATGGACAGAAGATTTTCAAAAGAAGATAGACTAATGGCTAATAAATGTATGAAAAAATGTTCAACATCATTAATTTTCAGAGAAATGCCAATCAAAACCACAATGAGATATCACCTAAGCCCAGTGAGAAGGGGTTTTATTAAAAAGTCCCAAAACAATAGATGCCAATGTGGATGTGGAGAGAAAGGAACACTTACTTACACACTGTTGGTGGGACTGCAAACTAATGCAACCTCCATGGAAAATAGTATGGAGATTCCTCAGAGAACTAAAAGTAGACCTACCGTTTGATTCAGCAATCCCACTACTGGGTATTTACCCAAAGGAAAATAAGTCATTTTATCACAAACAAAAACAAAAACAAAAACCACTTGCACTAGAATACACATTCTGAATCACAAAGATGTGTAATCAATCCAAGTGCCCATCAATTCATGAGTGGATTAATAAAATGTATATGTACACCATGGACTATTACTCAGCCATAAACAATGAATTAATACCTTTTGCAACAATGTGGATGGAACTGGAGACCATCTTCTTCCTAAGTATTGCAAGAATGGAAAAACAAACACCACATGTGCTTACTATTAAATTGGAACTAACTGATCAGTAGTCATGCTCACAGATGGAAGTAAAATTCAATGGAAATCATGCAGGTGGGAGCGGGGAGGAGAGAATTGGTGAAATCCTACCTAACGGGTACAATGTACACTGTCTGGGTGATGGGCACACTTATAATTTTGACTCAAGCAGTACAAAAGCAAACCACGTAACCAAA